GCATATAGCGCGGCCCCTGATCTGCGCTATACCCCTACGTGGCGTATAACGCGGATCAGGGGGCGCGCTATACCCTCGTGACGCCAGATCACCGTATATTGCGGGGCAGGGGACGCGCTATACCCACGTGGTGCCAAATCAGCATATAGCACGATTCAGGGAGGCGCTTTAGTGCTATGGGTGTTAGATCGAGAAATATAATCTGACCGGTGTTAGATCGATAAATATACCGATCACCGGTGATTTTTTTTTTTTTTTTTGAAAATCGCCTTTATTTACATGGATTTCATGATTTAATATAAAGAAAGACGCGGCGAAATGTTGGGAGAAATACCGGACATGTGTCATGCGTTTACTCTATTATCTTTTCCATTACATATGATTGGATGAAATAAAGTTGTAAGAGATGTGCATGTTACGTGTCTTATCGATGGCCTTACGAACAAATGCCAATAATGCCGGCATTTGTGTTTTCAATTTAGTATGTGACGGTGAATGTTCATCTACCGATAGGAAGCTTTTTAGACGGTTTATCAGCCTGAGTTGGATTGGATCGAGTTTTTGTTGGATTCGAATCTGATTTGAATGTTTTAACATTTTATTTATCATTTGATCTATATTTAAGTAAATTTTATATTATTCAATTTTAAGGTAAAATTCTATATCTGATCTACCAAATCGATATAAATATATATAATTCTATTTTTATTAAGTAAACTAGGAATATAATTAAAAATTTATGGAGACATGATCTAATTGGACCTTATCCTTTAAAAAATATGACCAAAACTTGTACTTGTTTAAGATGTCAAAGATGAATGAGACGTCAAATATGTTGGTATATGTATTTGTCGATAATGCCGGGTTTAACCAATTGAACAAAGGCCCAATATTTTCCACGTTCTGTTATGGTTATTGTCACACACCAAGAGCCCACAACCGAGGTTAGCCCATGAAGAGCAGCCCAAAGGGTGGTTTGAACCTTCTAGAAGCCACAAAGACTTTAGTGGCATTTAAATTTGTATAGATAATGACCACTTGTTTTTGGTAGGTAGGAATCAATCTAGACCGTCGATGTAATTAGATCTTAGCCGTTCATTGAGGGGAGCTTTGGCTATAAATAGAGGCCTCCCCTCCTCATTTGTACTCACTCCTTCACTTTGAGAAATCATAAGAGCATTATTCTCTCAAAGCTTTCTTATATTCCTTTTTGTGCTAGTTCTCTTGTCTAGCTTCCGTCGAGGTTCTAAGCATCATTGCTTGGGATATTTTCAGGCTTACTTAGCCACAATCACTAAGAAGGCGACTAAGGCCGCACGTTTCGAGGCGTCGAAGTTCTAAGGGCGTGACAAGTGGTATCAGAGCTAGTTCTACGAGAAATGACACAACACAACCAAGACGAGAACCCAACAAGTAAAGTGACTCGTGTTGTAGTACCGAAGAAGCGAGCAAACTCGAAGGAAATGGTGGCCTCGTTCGAGCAAAGGGTCGGTAGGTTAGAAGACCGATATAATGAAGTCCAAGAGACTCAAGACTCGGTTGAATCTCGCTTGGAGAAGGTGGAGTCCGTAGAGGATGTACTCCGTGAAGAAACCCAAGCACTCATCAGCGAGTTGACGGAGAACGTAGACGAGCGTACCAGAGGCCTCGAGAGCATGTACTTGACCATGAGGGCCGAAATAATGCGAGAGGTAAAGGAGCTCAAGAGCGAGCTACTCATCTACAAGGCTACCGTGTTGAATGGAGTGACTGGGGAGGCGCAAGCACCAAGACCCAGGATCGACGTCCCTAAGCCGAAGGAGTACAAGGGGAGTTGAAATGCCCAAGATGTGAAGAATTTCATTTAGGGCATGGAGAAATTCTTCCGTGGCATGGGTATCAGGGATGATACCACCAAGGTAAATGTTGCTTCCAATTATCTTAACGATTTTGTTATGTTATGGTGGCGTCGTAGGTGTTCCGAGAGTACAAATCCAATCGGAACGTGGGAAGAGTTCGTGGGAGAACTCAAGGAGCATTTCTATCCGAAAAATGTTGTGCTCGAGGCTCGAGCAAAACTAAAACAATTGAGGCACGATCGTTCTATCTTGGAGTATGTCAAAAACTTCACAAAGATCAAGATGCAAATCCCAGACTTGGGCGAGTCAGAAGGGTACTTTACATTCATGGATGGACTACAACGTTGGGCCAACATGGAGATCCAGATGAGGGGAGTGATCGAACTCTCCAAAGTATTGGATGCAGCTGAGGCCATTGCCCCGTTTGAAGTAAAGAAGACCGATTCTCTCCAATCCAAGCCGAAACCCAAAAGTAGTAGTGGGGGAGAAAAGGCCAAAGGAAGTTTTCACAAGCCAACTGGAAATCATGGGAAGCCGAACAATCGACCCAAAAAGCTCTTCAATCATTGGGAGAAGAATGGTGGACTATTATGCTTCAGTTGTGGAGGAAATCACATGAAACGAGATTGCCCTCAACTTGTGAAAGTTGCTGCCATCAAGGAGAATGATGGGGTGGAGAGTGAGACTCTCAAGCTTGGCTCCATCCTTAGCACCATGGAGGTCAAGAAGGGGCACAAGAAGAAGGGACTGATGTACGTAGACATCACCGTGGTAGGTCAAAATATGAGCGCACTAGTGGACACTGGTGCCTCAGAGTTGTTCATGTCCGAACAAATTGCCAAAAGACTTGCCCTTAATATGGAGAAGGCAAGTGGTTCCATCAAAACCGTGAATGCCGAAGAAGTTCCAATTGCGGGGGTCGCAAAAGGAATCAAACTAACCGTCGGAGGTTGGTCCGGAAAGGAAGCCATCAAGGTAATCCCTCTCGATGACTTCGGCTTTGTTCTTAGGTTAAGTTTCTTGGATCGAATAAGTGCTTTCCCAGTGCCTTTTACCGATTGCTTGTGCATACTGGATCCAAAGCAACAATGCATTGTTCCGGTAAGCCGAGGGCCCGGAGTAGGGGCCAAAATTTTATCCGCAATCCAATTCTCGAAGGCAATGCGCAATGAGGATCTGACCTTCTTAGCTGCCTTGGTGTGTGACGAACCAACCACGACCAAGGAAGTTCCTGACATGGTAAGTCATGTCTTGGCAGAATTCAAAGATGTGATGCCTGCCGAGTTACCCAAGAAGTTACCTCCAAAGAGAGAGGTGGATCACAAGATTAAGCTTGTGGAGAATGCGAAGCCACCCGCTCAGGCCCCTTACTGAATGGCTCCGCTCGAATTAGAGGAGATGCGCAAACAATTGAAGGATCTCCTCGATGCCGGATACATCCGACCATCCAAGTCCCCTTATGGTGCACCAGTGCTATTTCAAATGAAGCACGATGGTTCTCTACGGATGTGCATAGATTACCGAGTTTTAAATAAGCTCACAGTAAAGAACAAGTATCATATTCCCCTCATTGTGGACTTGTTCGATCAGCTTGGTGGTGTAAGGTGGTTCACCAAGCTAGATTTATGATCGGGCTATTACCAAGTTAAGATAGCCGAAGGAGATGAACCGAAGACAGCTTGTATGACCAAGTACGATTCTTACGAATACCTTGTGATGCCTTTTGGCCTCACAAATGCTCCGGCCACCTTCTGGACATTGATGAACAATGTACTACAACCCTTTCTAGATCATTTTGTTGTAGTTTACCTTAACGATATTGTAGTATACAGTAAGACCTTAGAGGAACACGTCGAGCACTTGAGAAGGGTGTTCCAAGTCTTACGAGAGAACGAGCTCTATGTTAAAGAGGAAAAGTGCTCGTTCGCCCAGAAGGAAGTACCGTTCCTAGGCCATGTCGTTAGAAGAGGCAAACTCCAGATGGACAAGGACAAGATTCAAGTTATTGACGAGTTGAAGCCATCCACCAAGGTGATCGAATTGCGAGTATTCTTAGGATTAGCCAACTATTACCGACGATTTATGAAGGGCTATTCCAAGATTGCCACACCTTTGACCAAGTTGCTCAAGAAGGATAAGGTGTGGGAATGGAGCACGAAATGCCAAAATGCATTCGAAAAGATCAAGGAGGCCATGGTGAGTGAGCCCGTGTTGGTGCTACCAGATTACACCAAACCTTTCGTAGTTTTCACCGATGCGTCCGATGTTGCCATTGGTGGAGTCATCATGCAAGAGGGGCATCCGGTTGCATACGAGAGCCGGAAGCTCAATGAGACCGAGCGGAGGTACTCGGTTCATGAGAAGGAGATGACAGCAATTGTACACTACTTGCGGACAAGGCGACACTACTTGCTTGGGTCCAAATTTATGGTGTTCACGGACAATGTTGCCAGTAGTTACTTCCTCACCTAGAAGAAGCTTTCTCCCAAGCAAGCTCGTTGGCAAGAGTTTATTGCCGAGTTCGACTTTTCCTTGGAGTACAAGCCGAGGAAGGTGAATTATGTAGCAGATGGCTTAAGCCGGAGGTATGCCATCGAAACTGTGGAAGATACTCTCATCGAGAGGATCAAATAAGGATTACCCCATAATCTTGTGGCCGAACGAATCATTGAGGGAGCCAATGAGGGGCGAACCCGAGAGTTTTGGCTAGAAGGAGAATTACTTTACCACCGAGGTCATCGTCTCTTTGTGCCCCGATATGGGAAGTTACGCAAGGAGCTCATGAAGGAATGTCATGATTCCAAGTGGGCGGGACATCCGGGAGTTGATCGAATATTGACATTACTCTCGGAACAATACTATTGGCCACACATGGTTGAAGATGTGTAGGCCTATGTGAAGACTTGTCTTGTATGCCAACAAGACCAAATCGAGGTGAAGAAACCGACGGGACTGCTACAACCGTTGCCCATTCTTGAGAGCCCATGGGAGAGTATTTCCATGGACTTTATCATTGGTTTGCCCAAAACTGATGGACTTTCAAGTATAATGGTTGTGGTTGACAGGTTTTCGAAGTATGCGATGTTCATACCCGCGTCCAAGGTGTGTCCAGTTGTAGAGGCCGCTTGACTTTTCCTTAAGCACGTGGTGAAGTATTGGTGAATGCCGAAAACCATCATTAGTGATCGGGACACGCGGTTCACAGGGAGGTTCTGGACGGAGTTGTTCAAACTGATGGGATCAAGCTTGAACTTTTCCACTGCAGTTCATCCACAAACCGATGGGCAAACCGAACGAGTGAATGCTCTATTAGAAATCTATCTGAGGCACTATATGAGTGCCAACCAACGAGACTGGCCCAAGCTGTTAGATGTGGCCCAATTTTCCTACAACTTGCAACGGAGTGAGGCGACAAACTAAAGTCCATTCGAGATCGTGACCGGGCAACAACCGTTGACACCTAACACGATTGTTTCCAGGTATGAAGGGCTCAATCCATCAACACACAACATTGCCAAGGAGTGTCACGAGCAACACGACTTAGCCCGAGCTTGTTTGCACAAGGCAAGAAAGCGGACCAAGAAGTGGGCTGACCGAAAGCTGAGGGACGTGAACTTTGAAGTTGGCAACCTTGTTCTTGCAAAGTTGGACAATGTTTTGCGCCATGCGGATGTGCACAAGGCGCTTGTGCGAAGATACGAGGGTCCTTTCCGAGTCCTGAAGCGGGTAGGCACATGGCCTACAAATTGGAGTTGCCTCCAACCATACGAGCGTATCCCGTTATCCATTTTAGCCTACTCAAGCCGTACCATTAGGATATAGAGGATCTGGATCGAGGCGAGTCTCACTGAGCACCAGTCGGAGTAGTGATCTTATATGACAAGGAGATCTAAGACATACAAGCGGAAAGAGTTATTCGACGGCCAGGACACCGCCCGAGGCATGAGTACTTTGTCCTATGGAAGGGACAACCCGAGTGCGAAGAAAGTTAGGAGCATGCCGAGGGACTTTGGCAATTCAAAACCCGAATAGACCAATTCCATGCCAGACGAGTGATGAGGGCGTCACAGGAACAAATGGGGGAGAATGTCACACACCAAGAGCCCACAACCAAGGTTAGCCCATGAAGAGCAACCCAAAGGGTGGTTTGGACCTTCTAGAAGCCACAAAGACTTTAGTGGCATTTAAATTTGTATAGATAATGCCCACTTATTTTTGGTTGGTAGGAATTAATCTAGACCGTCGATGTAATTAGATCTTAGCCGTTCATTGAGGGGAGCTTTGGCTATAAATAGAGGCCTCCCCTCCTCATTTGTACTCACTCATTCACTTTGAGAAATCATAAGAGCATTCTTCTCTCAAAGCTTTCTTATATTCCTTCTTGTGCTAGTTCTCTTGTCTAGCGTCCGTCGAGGTTCTAAGCATCCTTGCTTGGGATATTTTCAGGCTTACTTAGCCGCAATCACTAAGAATGAGACTAAGGCCGCACGTTCCGAGGCGTCGAGTTTTTGTTGGATTCGAATCTGATTTGAATGTTTTAACATTTTATTTATCATTTGATCTATGTTTAAGTAAATTTTATATTATTCAATTTTAAGGTAAAATTCTATATCCGATCAACCAAACCGATATAAATATATATAATTTTATTTTTATTAAGTAAACTAGAAAAATAATTAAAAATTTATGGAGACATGATCTAATTGGACCTTATCCTTAAAAAAATATGACCAAAACTCGTACTTGTTTAAGATGTCAAAGATGAATGAGACGACAAATATGTTGGCATATGTATTTGCCGTTACTGTCGGGTTTAACCAATTGAACAAAGGCCCAATATTTTCCACGTTCTGTTATGGTTATGCTCTTTCTCGAGTGCCCCGGAATGGGCGGCTCGGAAGATTGTGGGAAGATCGATTTTTTTAATATTAAATTAGATCATAATTCAAATTTTGATATTGTGAATGAATGAAATTAGGTTAATAATAGGATGATCAAGGATCGATCCGGATCAAATTTCTAGCTCTCAAAATTTGACTCGAGTACAACGGCCCCTCTTAATGTCAACTAACCCGACTCAAGTTTAGAAAAACTCTATCTAACTCAAAACTTGATCCAATTTATAGGTTTTATTATATATATACACTGTGTAAAACTCATTTAGTTTTATAAATATTAACTCCTTGTTTTTTTAATAAATATCTTCTCATTTTCTACTATTAAATTCGACATTTAATTTCTCTCATCCAATGATCCTAAAAATGTGTAAAACTAAAAAAGTTTTATATAGTGTAATCAGATCATATCCCATATATATATGTGTGTATATCAGGGGCGGATGTACATGGCTCTATAGGGGATCCATTACACACTCATTATTTTGAGAAAAATGTTAAATTTAGTTTAGTTTACTAATGGGGATGGGGAAAACATTTGCTCACCTAATTTTTTAGAATCGAGTATTAAAATTTTAAACACCTATTTTTCAATTTCTAGATTTGTCACTGGGTATATATATAACTTTTATTAGATAAAACGGTGATATAATTGAAAAATATAGAGAGATGTTTTATAACAATTATTTATAATTATATAGATATCATTTATACTATTTTCTCAAGTTGGATTGAATAGATTTCACCATAAACTCGAATTTGACTATATCCTTAAATATGGGACACAATCCATAAGAAATTAAGAAAAAACTTGACTCGATCCGTTCGGGCCTAAACTTGTTAGGTTCATATCAAATGCATATTCTTAACTAAGAGGATCATCCTCATAATGGATCAATATAATACTCAACTAAATTAATCGATCAATAGATCAAATACTAATGATTAAACAAAGATACTAATATTAAATCTTATTTTTAATTAAGACTTTAATTTCTCTTATTATTTCAGACTTAAGCAATGATTAAAAATTATCCTACCCTCAACTACTCACTAATTGGATACTAAATTTAACCAATATTAAGAGTGTGTTTGGATCAAAGATTTTATCATTTTCGGTCATCATTTTTTTTCCTGATTAAAGATGCCCATGTTTGATTGGGTAAGATTCCCAAGTGAGAGTAATCATTCAATACCAACAGTATATGTTTGGGTGTTTATTCGTGGGAATATTATTCCTACATGTATCTTAGGTATTTTTTCATTCCATTGTTAAGGGCTAAAATACTCTTCGTTTCCTCGTTTGTCTTTGCATATCTTCTTCTCCGAGCTTGTCTCTGCGAAAAATTTCATTTTCCCATTCTCCTGGTAAGATTTCTTCTCACTCCCTTTATTTTATTTTCTCAGCAGTGAAATTCATCGTTTTATTTTCTCAGCAGTGAAATTCATCGTTTTATATGAAATCTGGGTTTATTATGTTTTCTGTTTTCGTTCGTGTTATATGATTCTATGGCTTCAGCAAATGAGTTATGATTCATCACCACATTCTTCTTCTTTTTCCTAATCTCTTATAATATTCACCTTCTAGACGTAGACTCAAAATCAAATCTTTTGCATATAAAAACGAAGAAAAATGCTTGTGCTTTCCCATCCTCAAAGCAAAGAAACAACCCATACATTGTACGAACCGCTCTCTCCATCATTCTTCCAGTTTGATTTCGATAAAAATGGTGGCAAAACTAACGAACCCAAATTTCAATCCTCTGCATCAACCACTATAGTCAAACGAAAATCCTCATGGTCGTCCGTTCTCCGTTGGATTCCGACATCTACCGATCAAATCATCGCCGTCGAGAAACGCCTTATCTCCCTCGTCAAGTATATAAACCTTCAATTCCATTTGCTTATCAATTTACTTTGGATTCCCTAAGCTTACGCTTTAAAAAGCTGGAAACTTCGATTGCACATTAATTGAATTCTCATAGTATTTCATATAATTCTTTTGTTCTTTTTAATTTGGATTATCAATGGGTAATTGGGTATGTCATTGTTATTTCATAAATTTTGGCGAAAACTTGTATAGGAATTCGATAATTTTGGCGAAAACTTATTATTTTATATATTATTAATACAGGATTGGTTGGAAAAAAAATGCCAATTATGAAGCCATAGTAAAAGGAGCAAATATTGGGCTCTACCAATAAAATTTTGCAGAGGGTGGATTCAGTGTTCTTCAGGTTGTATATCCAACAGTTGGCTTGTCTACTTTGCATTTATATTGCACTTTATCTTCTGTCCCTCAACTTGTGTTGCTAATTGTTGTGCATGTTTGAATCCAGGTTATGCGGGTGCTTACGGTGCAACACCTCCTGTAAGTGATATGAATATAGTGTCTTATTATGGATCGACCATGTTTCTCTCTCTCTATATGAACCCTGGTTGAAATTAACTTTTATTATTCTGTTAATATGGATTATTTAGAAGGTTATATATTTCAGTCTTTGTCCAAATTTATAACTTCTGAGCTGCTGAATTTGGTTGCTGCAAGAGCATCTTTATTCAACTACATGGGAATTTTCTTTGCTTTGCTGTGTTGAAAACTTCTGGCCTATTTGTTTGCTCTGATGAAATCTCGGATGCTAAGTGAACTTGACCATTCTATATCATTATACTCTATGATACTCGTGATGGTGCACAACACTAACAGTTGAAAATTGAATACTTTTGAGTTGCAATCGAATGAAAAACATGGTTATTTGTTTGAGGGTCTAGTTATATTTTTTACTTTGAAATTAGTATCAGTTACATATCAAGAAAAAGGAGAATGTGAAGAGAGTAGATATTTCTCATTACTCTCTCATTCTTTTCCTCCAAAATGCTGCAGCTATCACAATTACCCTACCTGGGTGCTAGACCAATTATTCCAGAAGCTCCCGCGCCACCAAATAACATTCTGTTATTCAGAGTCCACTTCAGGACGTCTACAAGATTGGTGGTATTGGAACTGTCCCTGTTGGTCGTGTTGAGACTGGTGTCCTTAAACCTGGAATGGTCGTGACCTTTGGCCCCACTGGTCTGACCACTGAAGTTAAGTCTGTTGAGATGCACTATGAATCCCTCCCGGAGGCTCTATCTGGTGACAACGTTGGGTTCAATGTTAAGAATGTTGCTGTTAAGGATCGCAAGCATGGTTATGTTGCTTCGAACTCAAATGATGATCCTACCAAGGAGGCAGCCAACTTCACCTCACAAGTCATTATCATGAACTACCCTGGTCAGATTGGAAATGGATATGCCCCAGTTCTCGACTGTCACACCTCCCACATTGCCGTGAAATTTGGTGAATTGTTGACCAAGATTGACAGGCGATCTGGGAAGGAGCTTGAGAAGGAGCCTAAGTTCTTGAAGAACAGTGATGCAGGGATGGTGAAGATGGTTCCGACCAAGCCTATGGTTGTGGAGACATTCTCGGAGTACCCACCTCTTGGACGTTTCGCTGTGAGGGACATACACCAGACCGTTGTTGTTGGTGTCATCAAGAGCATCAAGAAGAAGGACCCAACCGGTGCCAAGGTCACCAAATCTGCCGCCAATAAGAAGTGAGGTTGCATTTGAGCAATAATTGTGATTGCAACGATAGTTTTCTAAAATCTGTCATGTTTTGTTTGAGACCCTGGTCATCGTTGTTGAATCTATCTTTAGTTTGTCTTGCTCAATTTCCATTAAAAAAAAAGAATCTTCCTCATGATGCAACCACAATGATGCTGCAAATGCTCTTCAATCAATACCCTAGTTTAAAGGATGTCAGAATGGTGGAAACAAAACCAGGTATTGCCTTTGTGGAGTATGAAAACGAGATGCAATCAACAGTTGCGATGCAGACACTATAAGGTTTCAAGATGCAGCAAAACCAGATGTTGATTACTTATGCAAAGAAGTAGACGGAAAGCCCGAAATGGTCTTCTTCTCTTGCATTCAACTTGAGAAGAAGGCCATGTGTATGGACCATGGATAATGGTCAATTAGATGGTAATTGCCATCTATTCTAATAGTTATTTTGTGACATTCTCTTTAACTAGAGCTTCAGGATTGTTACTATAGATTGTTTACTGGATGTTTATGTTTTAATCTATGAATTATTATTAAATTCTCTATGTTTTAACATTTGTCGCGGATACTAATCCGGTTACGTAAGTATGAATTAAATGACTAAATTATTATATATAGAAGAATGTAAACCTTGTCGATTGAAAATATAAGAAACCTTCCGGTGAATGTGTCATATATGAACTGAAGCTAGTTCCACAGTGTAAACATTAATATATTTTTACCATAAATTATGTAAAATTTAATATTAATTAAAATTAAAATAATACATGATATATTTAAATACTTAAATAATATATTATCAACATATATAATTTTTATATAAATAATTTTTATTTAAATATTTTGAATTTTACTTGTTAAAAATATAGAACAAGGACAATTTGGTAAAATATGCATTCTAGTAATCTTTTATTCTTTCAACCAAACATGATAATCTTACGTTCCTGTCAAACCAACCAAACATATTAATGTAACATTTCCAGTAATCTTATTATCTGATAATCTTTTATTTTCACTTGTAATCTGACATTCTGTGAACCAAACGCACTTAGTTAATAATATATGGGCTCAGCATGTCTAAAATCCACCAAGTCAACCACTGTCGTTTCCTGCTACTTTCACTAGAAACCCTAATTTCTCAAAACTTTTCATCCTTCTTCCATGGCAATCAGCTTCCAATTTCAGTCCCCTCTAAAACCCATCAATTTCCCAGTATCCACACCCAGAAAGGTCCCCCTTTTGATATGCAAAGCCTCGTTTTCAACCACCACCACTACAGAGCTCGAGCCAGTCTTCACCTCCGTCAAGTCCTTCGCTCCAGCCACAGTTGCCAATCTCGGCCCGGGTTTTGACTTCCTCGGCGCCGCCGTTGATGGCCTCGGAGATTACGTCTCCCTCAGCGTCGACTCCTCTCTCACCCCCGGTCACGTTTCGATCTCCGAAATCTCTGGGTCATCTAAACTCAGCACTAACCCTCTTTTCAACTGTGCCGGCATCGCTGCCATTGCCACTATGAAAATGCTCAACATTCGATCTTTCGGCCTTTCGCTTAAGCTTGAGAAGGGCTTGCCTTTAGGCAGTGGCCTCGGTTCCAGTGCCGCCTCCGCCGCCGCCGCTGCAGTGGCTGTCAACGAACTGTTTGGTGCTAAACTCGGAGTCGATCAACTGGTTCTGGCCGGATTAGAATCGGAAGCCAAAGTTTCCGGTTATCACGCTGATAATATTGCTCCAGCAGTCATGGGAGGTTTCGTTCTAATAAAAAGTTATGATCCTCTGGAGCTAAAGCCCTTGATTTTCCCCCAAAATAAGGAACTGTTTTTCATCTTGGTCAGCCCGGAATTCGAGGCTCCCACGAAGAAGATGCGGGCGGCTTTGCCTGCGGAAGTCGGGATGCCGCACCATGTCTGGAATTGCAGCCAAGCTTGTGCCCTGGTAGCTTCGGTGTTGGAGGGTGATGTGGTGGGGTTGGGGAAAGCGTTGTCGTCGGACAAGATCGTGGAGCCAAAACGAGCGCCGTTGATTCCGGGAATGGAGGGTGTGAAGAAGGCAGCTATCAAGGCTGGAGCTTTCGGCTGTACTATAAGCGGAGCTGGGCCGACGGCGGTGGCTGTGATTGACAATGAAGAGAGGGGGATGGAGATTGGGCAAAAAATGGTGGAAGCTTTTCTGGAAGAAGGGAATTTGAGATCGGTGGCAATGGTTAAGAGGCTCGATCGAGTTGGTGCTAGACTCATTGAGAGTGTTCCCAGATGATGATCAAAAGCATACATTTGCTTTTGATTTCACAAATTTCAGCCAAGTTTTTGCTATGTATGAAAGCTTCATTTTCATGGCTATGAAATAAAACCTAGTCTTTGTGATCTTTACGTTATGTCTTGGCAAAAACATATGCAATACTTGGAAGAAGATTATGAATGAAGATCAAAACTTTTACTCACTAACTCAGTTGTTCTTAACCTGCATTGAACAATGCCAGCTTTGAGTAGGGAGCATATGGCGATGCAGATGCCGAGCCGCCATCTGGTGTCGGCACATATATCTTGTGTTTTGAATTTCCTGATGCAGAGGATATCCATTATTTCAAGGTAAGGTTTGTTATCATTCATATAGAAGTCAAAAAGAAAAAATGAATACATTTATCTTATCACAGCAACATCGATAACGACAAGCTGCATGGCAACGATTATACTAGGAAACGTCAACGGGGTCGTAATAGAACTGACAAGTAGTGATGCAGCGGATGAACTGATACTAGGAAATGATTTTAAGATGAGAAACTAGAAGTCAATAGAGAATACTGATATATCTGCATGCACAAGTTAGAAGAGTTATTTGGGTCAATTTTTGAAAGAGAACAAGCAGACCAGTAGAACAATAAGGCCAGGTTCTCTACATTACCTAGCTTAAAGCACCCTTGACTCCCGGTTCGCAGAGATCATTCCAATTTGGTCCCTTTGCGGTTTCAGCGGGATGAACCATAGCTGGTTCTACCCGATGCTGCTTCATAAGATCATTGGAAGAAAGAGCTGACTGACTCACCAAAGCGGCAGCAGCATCGACATAGCTGTAGCCTGCAAGGGCATCAGCATCGGTCGGAGACATTACAGACCTCCTGTCTAGATCCCTGTATGCTTTCTTTGTGAATGCCGTTACCTTTTTTTTCCATCTTGGTCTTCTTTCTCGGACCATTTCCATGCTAGCATTTGCCAACCACAACCAATCCCCAGCATTTGAAGGCACTGGACTCATGGGGACTTGCATTTATATTATTTTTGAAAATGCATATGTATATATAAGTTTGACACGATCTATAAATGTCTTATAAAATAGGCATCGAAAATATATGGAAGGTGTAAACATACCCATTGGCTTTAGTTATATAGCATGAAATAGCACGAACCGAACGATCTTAGTCGTAAAGAAATTGTTATTATTTTTTGAGGTCTCATGTTCGAGCATTAGTAATGTCAGGATGTAAGCGTTTAATCTCAAATGGTTGAGAGTTATCTTTGAACATGTACTGTACTTACCCCGGATTAAAAAAAAATATAAGTTGAAACAACAAAAAGCATAGGGACTGAGAGTGTAATATGACTGCAAAATTAAACAAATGGAGATAGGGGAATCCTATGTAAACTTCTGGTGCTTTCCACGTAAAGCTTTCGTCTTCAACTGAAAATTAAATTATAAAAATGATTGTACAAAAAAAAAAGAGAAAATAATTTCAGTGACCAAAACTGCCTTATAATATACGATTTTAATCAATTTTTTTTGGATTTACCAAAATGATCAATTAAATCGTAATGCGATCGATAATTCGCAACGCGATCTCCGGTATCGATAGTCGAAGTTCGCGTTGCGAATCTAGAAACTGATTTGCGATACCGGAGATCGCGTTGCGAATTATCGATCGCATTACGATTTAGTTGGTCATTTTGACAAATCCAAAAAAAATTAATTAAAATTATATATTATAAGAGATTTTTGATCACTGAAGTTATTTTCCAAAAAAAAAAAATGCTTTGTACATACGTTGAGGTACTTGAGTGACTTGACTTGGTCTCACCTCATCAAAAGTACATACTTTTTCAACTAATTTTCATCGAACAGCATTTGAACATCAAAAAGTATATACGACAATATAATATAAACCCTAAAAACAGTGTAATCGAAAAATATTTAAAGAAGTTTAATGAAATAGGTTAAGAACTACCGAAAATATTAAATTAAACGTAATATATTAGGTTTCATGTAGTTTTAGGAAATAAAAGAATGGCTTAACCAGGTAAATTATGTTCCCAGTTTGTATTGAAACTCACTTAGAAGAATTTTGATATTTTTGAATTTTATAACAAGTTCACAGCGAAACCGGTTATAGTATAGAGACCAACGTATAAAATTATTATAATTATTTTGAAAATACAACTTATAACATTAATGTGTGAAGGAAGATGGCAACAAGAGCTTTATTTTTGTAGTCGGAACCTAAAATATCACTGAACTGTATAAAGATAATTGTTTTTTGATAATGATGTGACATTAAGAAGGTAAAATTTTAAAATGCAACCAATATCATTAAAGTAGCATATAATTTTTTCGGCCGATGTGTACAATTTTTTTAGTTGGAAACTGATTATATCGAAAGTTTTTCCCTAAGTATCAATACTTTCTAATTGTAAAAAGAAGGGAATGGAGAAGTGTATTTAAGAGAATTAGACCTATGCACATATTTCGATATAAATGGGAAAGTGCCAAGTATTTATACATTGCATAAGCGGCTTAACGGCGATAAAGACAAGAATCAAAGAGTAGAGCAAGGGGTTTTTATTTCAAGAATTTGTTTTCCATCTGAGAAGTAAAAATTAAGTCAGAAAAACAAAACTAAAATCTCAAATTGAAGTATAGAGATGTACGTTATCGAAACCCTAGTTTGCAAATTCTTCAATTAAGTTATTTTAGATTTAGTGATTAGGGTTTATTGTAGAGGGTAAAGTTGTGGAACGAAGGACCAATTATTGTTATAGGTTGAACCTATTCTATAAATACACAAGTTGACATTACTAGTAGCAACATATTTCCTTTAGAACCGTGATATTCTGGGGCGCAATTGTTTCTATTTTGCCTAATCGTAATACTTTGTGCTCTTAACATATTTGATTGTCATGTGGAACACCAAGGCTCCATCGGCTAAAACTTTCATAATATTCCAGATTGCAACGTGCTTTCTTTTGGGGTCATGACACTCTAGGCGCAATCTATTCTATTAATACACAAGTTGACATTACAAGTCGCAATCTATCTTCTTTAGAACTGTGATATTCTGGGGCGCAATCGTTTCCATTTTACCTAATCATAATACTTTGTGTTCTTAACCTATTTGATTGTCTTGGGGAACTTTAAGGCTCCATGGCTAAAATTTTCATAATACTTTAGGTGCAATCACTTTTATTTTTTAAAATGATAAATATTTCATATTGCAACGTTCTTTCTTTGGGGACATGATACTCTGGGCACAATCTATTCTATTAATACACAAATTGACATTACAAGTCGCGACCTATTTCCTTTAGAATCGAGATATTCTAGGGTACAACCGTTTTTATTTTGGCTAATCGTAATACTTTGTGCTCTTAACATATTTGATTGTCATGGGGAACGCCAAGACTCCATCGACTAAAACTTTTATAATACTTTAGGCGCAATCACTTTTATTTTATAAAATGATAATATTTCATATTGCAATGTGACTCTAGAACTTAATTTATTTAAATCTATCACGATATTTAAAACCTGTTCTGTTACTCCGGATCATAATTATTCTGGTTTTAAATTAAAATATTGTAGGTCACACCTTTAATAACCTTTTCTACCGGTCACGTCGTTAATTAACCTTATTTTAGGGTCGCACACTAGAACCCCATAAAAACAAAAACAAAACCAAAAGGAAATACGAATATTGTCCCATTTTTTGTTTCATATTATTACATGCATTACTTAAATACGTTCAAGAATAGAGTTAAAGAAAATTTAATATTATTACGCGTATTGTTTCCTGAACTTTAGTTTATTTTTTGTTTGATTTAATAAATTAAATTCCAATTGATAATACATATTTAAATTTAATGAAAATCTATTATAAATTATAATTAAAATCTTCATGTTCATGTTCTTCTGCCATTTTTGTTATTCCAATTCCACTGTTAGATTCTGTCTAATAAGCAACTTGCCAAAATAACCTAAAAAAAATAAAGGAGTTTGGACCTTAACTACCAATTTTCCTAGGGAAATCTTTAAATTAAAACAATGACCAAACAACCGAAAACTACCAAAAGACAGAGAAAAATGTGTCACAAAGTCGACAGTTGGTAACCAACATTAAAGTTGGTGTCGCCGTCGACTAAATAGAACCAAACAAAAAAAAGTTGATTTGATTTATAAAAAATGGCACAAACGGTAAATAAAAAGACAAAGAAAAGGGGAGGATAGGGGAGAGTGGCTAGGGTATCATTTGTTATTTTAAATGCTCTAATTAAGTCTAATTGAAATATTTTTATGTTTAGGGTTCAATTTAAGATCTGGATCATAGTTTTAGGGATGTGCGGTGGAATAAACCACATATATACACATACGCTCAAATCCAATTCAAATAAATATTCTGTTTATTCTGAATTACAAACACAGAAGGTCAACGAGAAAAACAAAAAAGGGTAAATTAGTCAAAGAGAAAGTTGGCATTCACGCGGAAACTTCATAGCTTCAAACTTCAAAGTTGCTAGTTTCAAGACTGCTATAATATTTTGACCAAAACGACCTTAGAACACATGGTCGTAAGCCCACCGAACTTTTACTCCACGTGAATGATACGCACCAATCAAATCACTACAAACTCAACGTTGTCGTTATCTCCAACATGTGAGAAAAGGTCAAACAGGGAGCATCAAGGATTTCACTTTACTGATCTGCCCTTCACTTCACCTCTTCCCTTAAATAACAATGATTATAAGCATTTAACTAACATTTTTGGTCTAATTTTGAATTTCACCTCTCTATGACAATCAGGAAATCAGTCCTTTTTCAGTCCTTTTACTATAATTTTTCAGAATTTGATCATCATATTCAATGGCGGATCTAGAAATATTTTTTTTATGGTGGACACACACACACATATATTAGTCACATAAAACTTTTATACAAGACGAGTACAACTATTAAAAAATTTAAATTTCAAAATGTGCGCGTGTTCACCCTAGATCTTTAATGGATCTGCCACTTACCCTACTTTGTAAATATTGATAAATTAATTCAATTTGGTAACGTGTTTAAACATGTTCATTACACCACTGACCTAAAAAATCAATAGTTTAACAAAGTATAGTTAAGGAATTAGCAAAAAATTAAATTAAAATATAAGTATTAAATTATAAATTGTATAAAATAAAGGGATGTAAGTAATAGTTAAAACCACATATTTTCTTGCACCGAATACCGATATTTCGCTGGTAAGAAAAAGGGCAAAAAAGAAGGAAGAAGAAAGAGAGGAGAGTTTAGCTGGTCAGCACTCGGCAAGCACGATAGTTCTTAGAAACACACAGCTGGTTCTTATTAGAATCCATCATCTTTAGCCATTTCCTAAAATAATCTAATTTTTCTTCCCTTTTTTGCACTCCAAAACTGGTACTTCATCTCTCTCTCTTTCCTTTTTTATTGATTTCTGTTTGTTTAGATCTTTAGGCAGCTTGATATCTTTTAGCCATAGAAAAGGTGATGCCTGTGTTTACTTTACATAACTTATTTGGTTGATTGCAAATCAGTGAAAGTTCGATTTTTTTCCTTTTTGATTTTGATGCTCTGATCTGATATGGGCTTCTTTTGATGCTTAGATTTCTGGGTTTTTGCATGAAAAATTCTGGGACTTATTGAAAGTTTATGTTCTTTTTTTGTTCTTTTGTTAGTGTAAATTGATGAGATATTATTGGATGAAGAGAATAGTGTTGGGGAAATACTGATTGTTTCATGGGCAATACATGCCGTGGATCTTTCAAGGGGAAGCTTTATTCTTCGAATCGCACCGCTACCAACACGTCGTCCGGCCGATCGAATTCGACCAGCGATTATTCCCCTTCCACCGTGAACTCTCAACAGCTCATCGCTCAAGAATTCTCTAAAGAGACCACCAAAAAGGACCCCAATTTGCCCCTCGTCAGCCCCACCAACAAGAAAGAAAACAGCATGAGGCGCGGTAACGATCACCAGGCTTATTATGTTTTGGGTCATAAGACCGCCAACATCCGTGACCTTTACACTTTGGGTCGAAAGCTAGGACAAGGACAGTTTGGGACTACTTACTTATGTACCGAGATCTCCACGAGCGTCGAGTATGCCTGTAAATCGATATCCAAGAGGAAGTTGATCTCCAAAGAGGATGTCGATGATGTCCGGAGGGAGATTCAGATAATGCACCATTTGGCTGGTCATAAGAACATCGTGACAATTAAGGGTGCGTATGAGGATACTTTGTACGTGCATATCGTGATGGAGCTTTGCTCGGGAGGTGAACTGTTCGATCGCATTATCCAGAGAGGGCATTACTCCGAGAGGAAGGCAGCTGAATTGACTAAGATCATTGTTGGTGTTGTCGAGGCTTGCCATTCGCTCGGGGTTATGCATAGAGACTTGAAGCCCGAGAATTTCTTGTTAGTTAACAAGGATGATGATTTCTCTCTCAAGGCCATTGATTTTGGACTCTCCGTCTTCTTTAAACCAGGTTTTTGACGCCATTAATCCACTACTTGTTCCTCATTTAGTAGGTCAATTACTTGATCTTGCTTAAACCTGGTTCGAATACTTAACATTTCATAATTAAAGAGCCAAATTTTCTTATTTTAGCAAGTAACATAGTAAGGAGTTTGCTAATTGGATCGATCCCTTCTTAAATCAAGTTGATTGACATAATGTGTGGTTTACCATGTTAGGCCAAATGTTTACCGACGTGGTTGGCAGCCCGTATTATGTTGCTCCAGAAGTACTCCTCAAGCATTACGGACCAGAAGCAGACGTATGGACTGCAGGAGTTATACTCTATATATTGCTAAGCGGCGTTCCACCGTTTTGGGCAGGTATTTATAATGTTTTATGATGATGTACCTTGAAGAGTTTTTATGTAATTCTTATACTTAAAGAGTATTTGTCCGTCTTCTTCAGAAACACAGCAAGGAATATTCGATGCAGTGATAAAAGGACATATTGACTTCGATTCGGACCCGTGGCCCCTGATATCTGATAGTGCAAAGGACTTAATCCGAAAGATGTTATGCTCTCAACCTTCAGAGCGGCTGACTGCTCACGAAGTATTATGTATGTTATATATGCCGCCTCTCAATTATTATCTAACTTGGTGTGAATGAAATGAAAAGAAAGTTTAACTTTTCTTTCGAATTGTTTAGGCCATCCTTGGATTTGTGAAAATGGGGTTGCTCCTGATAGGGCACTGGATCCAGCTGTACTATCTCGCCTTAAACAATTCTCAGCAATGAATAAACTAAAGAAGATGGCTTTACGGGTAAGATTCTCGAGATTGTGAGAGATGAAATGGGATGTATATGTAAAAGAAGGATCTTGTCAAATAAGTAGCACAATGTTTTCTTCGTGCCATGAAGGCCTAATATGCAATCTACACAGCAGAAGCTAGCTGTTTGTCATTAAACAGAGAATGCACCATCGTTTTTCTCGAATATTTCCCTGCCTGAGTCGAACATGTTTTTTGCACTCGATATTTAGAGTTTAGTCTAAAGCACATTGGAACTTCATGTTGGATTTAAACGTTCCCTGTCCTCTTTTTACAATCAGGTGATAGCTGAAAGTCTATCCGAGGAGGAGATTGCTGGTTTGAGAGAAATGTTCACATCTATGGATACCGATAACAGTGGTGCAATCACATTTGATGAACTCAAAGCCGGTTTACGAAGATATGGCTCTACCTTGAAAGATATGGAGATAAGGGACCTTATGGATGCAGTAAGTTTGTTTCGAAGAGGATATCTAAATATTCGGTTCATTTTCCTTTTATCTTATCTTTCTCCATCCTGCTCTTTTGCGAATCATTCATTCATTCATTTTCTTTTTCTTGCTTAATTTCTTTTCATTGTTTTGTATTCAAATGGTCTAGTTGTCTAAATGCTAACTTATATGTGTTCATAAATATGTTGTTATACCGCTCGTTACTTATTTCCCGTGTTAATTGCATGTTTGCAACTGAATCATCTGAGCTCGTTTATTTGTGTTCTTAGGCTGATGTCGACAATAGTGGGACCATTGATTATGGAGAATTTATAGCTGCAACGGTTCACCTTAACAAACTAGAGCGCGAGGAGCATCTCGTTGCAGCGTTCCGGTACTTTGATAAGGACGGAAGTGGCTATATTACAGTTGATGAGCTTCAGCAAGCTTGTGCTGAGCATAACATGACTGATGTTCTGCTCGAGGATATAATTAGAGAAGTTGATCAAGATAATGTAAGTCATCTTACCTTTCAACAATTGGATGGTAACGATGTTCTTGAGCTACCTAATTTGTTTCATCGAACTTTATGGTTGTTTTCTCATATGATCTAGCATGGTACTGGTAATAACAAGATGTGATAACATGTCCATTTACATTTAGACAAAGTTGTGGTAGACGATATCACGATACTCTATACTTACCGCACTGTTCTCTCGGTTGGAACAATTCTTTTTTCCTTCGTTCGATGTAAGTTTCGATTTCCTGACACTATTACTGCTTTTCATTTTCAGGATGGAAGAATTGATTATGGTGAATTTGTTGCCATGATGCAAAAAGGTAATGCAGGAATCGGTAGACGAACCATGCGAAACAGTCTGAATATAAGCATGAGAGATGCCCCCGGTGCGCTATAACTTCCAGCCACGAACATCATGTACATGTATCTTCCGTCTAGCTTCTACGTCGTACACCCCCTCCCCCCGAGATAGTTGAACCACAAGTAAAGTAAAGCAACTACATAATCTACTTTTAGAAGTAATGGTGAAGAATCAAGACGCCTTAGAAAACCCCGTAAGTTGTACGGAATAACTCCGGTATTGTTGCATTGGTGTTGCATTATAGTTAAAGGTACCGAGAAAGACTTGGCCACGATAACTCGGAAATGTGATTTTTCGATTTCTCTACTCATTCGCAGTTTGTACAGTAAAGCCAGTGGATGATGATCCGTGACAGCGTTCAGGGAACAGTTCCGGTTCCTCGCATGCTCCGGGACTTTGTCGGTGAAGAAATGGTTGTGGGAGGTTCTTTGTTGGAGTATTTAGTGAGATGCTATTGGTTTATGGATGCCATATTTAACCAAATCATGGGTTCTGTAAACTTGAGGAGCCTGTGGAAGTGTCGAAGTTATTGAGATTACGATGTCATTAGTTATGTCTTTAATTGATGTTTTTGTGTTGATTTCTTAAGGATTTGCAGATATTTGTGTTGTGAAACTGCTTCATTTTTCTCCCCCTTTTTTTCAGCCTTATATCCCAACATTTTTTATCTCCATGACGAGACGTTAAGCTTCTTTAAGCAATGTTCAGTGTTCGATGTTTAAACAATGTTCCATCCGTACCAGGTAATAGTTGTTATCTAAATCAACTAGTTGGAAGTGTCCTTGTGACTGCCATAACAATTTAATCTCGTTCCATAACGCTCGGTATCCGATTGTTTTGCCCAGGAGTCTCACGATGACTGTCTTCCGCCTGTTATAATCTATAGATTCATGTACTCGGTTTGAGAATTGTATGACAGGGTAATGTCCGCTCCTATCCGCCAGTACATCTTCTTGCAGCGTTATCTCTTCATCTTTAAACTCAAAACCTTCAGTTGGAATTCCCTTCTCCCCTCTCAACGTCGCCGCATAGGATTTAATGTGAGTCACATCCTGTTTGTTTCAGATTACAGTAATCCATGTACGTCCTCGCCGTTCGCCTGTGGTCCCTCTTGCATAGGGACATCAGTCTCGTTCATCCTCTCCACGAATTCTCTTTCCATGGCAGCCCCAGAATCTACTAGCGTGTCTCCACATACCTCCTCGCTTCTTAACACTTCATGAATTAATCAAACAAAGGGTGGGGTTTCAAACACAACATCAGAATTCTACCTGCAAAATCTAATATCATATTCGAGACTTTGATGGATGAAATAAGGGTCTTTTGAGGTGTTTGGGAGGCTAGAATATGCGGGAAAATGGAGAGGAAAATAAAGCCATTAACGACCCCATCACAGCCCCTAAACCAAAGGCATTAACGACAGTTATTCGACATCATTAACGCAACACCAATCCGCAACTTGTGAGAAGAAAATCGAAGAGTAAAATAAAGGGGCAGAGTAAATCCCAGTTACAAAACCGACACTAACACGGCCCCGAAAGTCCAGGGCAGCAGAAGCAAAAATCTGCAACAAACCTTGCTCATTGAGATCTCAAAGCAAACATATAATGCTATTATCAACCGATCAGCAACTTGTTCTCCTCCAAGAAACTGTAGGAGAGGAGAGGAGTAACAGAGAGAACAAAAAAAGAATTGAAGAGAGGGGTGCTATGGCCTCTCGGCCATGGCGGAAAACCACCAAGCAATATACCCTTGCACCAGCCTTACTCATTGAGCTTCCTTCGCCTGAACCTAAACCTTGCCATTACCAACACCTGCCTACACAAGAGTATAAAATAAATTAGGGTTTCATATACAAAAGGTGCCCAATGTATGTCCGTTTTTACAGTTCAGTGTCTAAGTTTTTTTCGTTCGAGTTTGGTGTTTAACGTTACATTCCGTAACTCAGAATGGGTCACGCCGTGACGGACCGTTAGTTTTCTTCGTTAAGTGACACGTGTAAATTAGATTGTTGCAATTTAAAATTTCAGTAATTCATCTCCAGCACTATCTCTACATTACCATCAACTCTACTTTATTCACAATATTTAACTATTAGTATGTTTATTTATCTAATTTCAATGTATTTTTTTCTATCTTGCAATTTAATCTACTTGAATTTATTATATTATGTTTAATTTTTATTTTATCGTGGAGAAATTACAATAAAAAAATATAAAAGATAGAATAATAGAAAATAATGTAACAAAGAAAAGACAGAAAATAACAAAAACCAGAAATCAGAAAAATAACATAAAAAATATATATTACGTAGTGCAACTACAGTGTTACGTCAGATGTAAAGTATCACCGTAGCATCTTCACATTCCAAACTCTATTCTAGAGATCGACTGGAGTTAAAATTCATCTCCAAAGTAAATATTTTCTTTACTTTGGAGATGCACTGGAGTTGGTAACATAAGCAAAATCTACTAAATAAATCTATAAAATTCCTTCAATACTTGTTCCATATAAATATCATTTCACAATTCAATATCAGTCTTAACATTCTAAAATGACACTTTAATTCCTTTAATATTCGTAGTCGTCACTAATTCAAATAACTTTAACAACTTTACATTTCAACCACCATTTACGAATTCTTTTAAACTACATCCCGACTTTCCAATTCATTCAAAATGGTCATTTTTCATTTCACTTTAATTTAATTCCAAACACTAAATTTCCAGCATTCTAACATTGTTTTCAAACTAGTACCTTCATACTTGCAAAATTTCCATTTTACCCCATATTTTCCAATATTCACGATTTAGTCATCAAACTTAAGCAAACTTGCAATTTGATCCAAATCAACATTCTAACATTAAAAACCAGCATTTCAATATTCAATTTCAGCCTGGTATTACAACTATTGAAAAATCTCAGTTCAATCCCTAAAATTCTCAAATTATGCAAAATAGTCCCTATACTTTCACCAATTTCCAAATTGGTCCAAATCACGTTGTCAAGCACGTAGAATTATTCTAACATCAATTCTAACCCATAGGAAATTTTTGTATAATCTTCCCTAATTTATTTTCTTGGGGTCGAATATCATAGGGTAGGGATTCAATGAATTCCAACTTGATTCAAGCATGAATTCAAACTCTAAACAATATTTCCGTGCAATTCCAATCAAACCCCTATAAAAACAATTCAATTTCAATCTTTCCATAAACCCTAGGTCATGGAAAATTCCTTCTCTATGCATTTCCAATTGACTTTTAATCACCATACTAGCTTGAAAACAACTCTACAACATCACCAACATAAAAATCCTTCCTTAAATCATCATCATTCTTCTTCCCCTTCAACTACCCAATTCATGAAATCAACCATCCAAACAAGAATAACGTGAACCATTTATACAAAATGATAGAGAATTTGATGTAGATTAATTCTCTATTTCACACTTGAATCCAAAAATCAAAGAAAATGACTTTAAAATGAAGAAGAAAATGAACAAAGTTTGTAGATTTTTCCACCATTTATTAATCCTTGCACGTTATATTCTAATTAAATGAATTAAAAATTTATTTAATACTAAATTACCTTTTTATCTTTTAAAAATCATGATAATTACCACTTTATCATGCTACGTCATGATTCCGTCACCATTCTTACATCATCATAACAAATATGAACAATTATTTTGTACATTTCCATCTTGGCCTTTGCACTTTTCCAAAACTTCAAATTTGATCACTTTAATTCAACAATCCCGATTTAACATAGGAAATCAACTTAAATCCCATGATCCATGGTAAATTCTACCATTTAAAAAAATGAAAATAGTTTTATTAACCTCCTGCCACCATCCTTTAAATTTTCATGAATTTTCATTCGATCCGATTATCCAAATATTTTACCAAACTTTATCGCTTAATAGCTTTTTATACAAGCTCCAGATCAAAAGACTGAAACCCACAAAACGTCATTCTTGGGGTGAACTATTCATTTACATGATAAGATTTCTTTTTGAGAAAATTACCACTTTGGTCACTGAATTTTTCAAAATTTATATCTTTGGCCACTGAACTTTTAAAATTTACATTTTGGTCACTGACCAAAATTTTGGGATATTACAATGTGTCCGTTTCTACTTTCATGATCTGTTTTGGCTCTTGTAAGCCATTCTGGTGCTTTATATTCTTGTATCAATAGTATGGAATATATCCTTGTACTTTTTGGAATTATGTCCTTAAACATACGTAGATGAAATTTACTAGTGATTTGATTCTGTTCTTGATTCTGTTTTATGTTGCTTCTGTATTCAAGTGATCAAGTCATTTGAAACAATCGAGGAACGGATGGGTGAACATTTCTTTTAACAACAAACTTATTATCAATTAGTAAGTAGGATAGTTGCCTTATCAAAATTTAAAATTATTACATATTTCGGCGTTTTCCTCGAAAAATCATCGGTGATCGGTATATTTATCGATCTAACACCGGTCATATTATATTTTCCGATCTAACACCCGTAGCAGTAAAGCGCGCTCCCTACCCCGCGCTATATGCTGATTTGGCGTCACGTGGGGTATAGCGCGCCCCCTGTACCGCGCTATACGCTGACATGACTTACACATGGGTATAGCATGGCCCCTGATCTACGCTATAGCTGTTTATCTGACACGTGGGGTATAACGCGGTACAGGACGCGCACTATACCTTTAATCCCCCAAATCCTCCATATAAATACCCCATCCTCTATTACTTTCATCACACCAAATTCTCTCAAATTCTCTCTCTCTATTTAAGGTATATTTTATAATATTTTTAATATTATGTATTTAATTTATTTAAGCATTTTATTTTATTTAATATTTTACTAATATAATTTTTTTGCAGATGTATTTACTTTATTTAAGCATTATACTGCAACGACGATATTCTTCTACTACTTCCAACATGAATCTTCATCGAAATCTTCGTTATCAGCTCCTCAAGAGTTATATTTCTCTTGAATTATATTTTAACTCGCTCATTTTATACGAAAACAACGCCGGTTTCATCTTCTCGAATTTCACCATCATAATAAACAATAGCTGAAAGTCGCGCCATTCTTTGAGTCTAAAATTGCGGCAATATTATATCTGCAAAAAAAATAACTGAAACAAACCTGATTAAATAAATTATATATGAACGAAAATATAACACAATAGATTTTTTACACATCAACGTAAATAATTTAAATAATATAATTTTATATTATTACATGTACCGTAAAACTATTTTGACGTATGCTCCTGCTTTTCAATTTTAAAAACACAAAAAGTAATTGAAAATAATTAGTATAATATTTTTTCAAATAATCATAATAAACAATAAGTATAATAAAAAAAATTATAACAAAATTTATTACGAAAAATCACACGAACTTCTAAATCAAATATGAGAAAATTACCAGAATTATTACTCATTGACGGAATTGTTGTATTAATTTATAAGTTGAGAGGAGAGATGTGAGGAGATGTGAGAAACTTAATCGGGAGTGAATGATATTTATAACCATATAAGATGCGATACATGCACCGCGCTATATGTAATTATTCAGATAAAATGTATAGCGTGAACCAGGATCCGCGCTAAATATAATTCATACCCAGGTGCAGCGCTATACCCCTACGTGGCGTAGAACGCGGATTAGGGGGCGCGCTATACCTCACATGGCACCAAATCAACATATAACGCGGGGCAGGGAGTGCACTTTACTAATACGGGTGTTAGTTCGAGAAATATAATCTGACCGGTGTTAGATCGGTAAATATACCGGTCACCGGTGATTTTTCGGAAAAAAACGCCACATATTTCATAATTTTTAATGTATTTTCATCAAAAATCTGTTTTTGCACATAAAATTTAATAAATTCAAGTTCGCTCCCTAAGTTCAAATTCACCCTTAACATAAAATCC